AGGTGAGGCAGTAGGGTGGGCACAGACAGGGTGCGGGGCGAGCAGCCGTACTTCTTTGTGGTTTCCTGCGCGTCTGCCCGCTCTGGCCAGACCCTGAAGATCAACAGCTGTCTCTTATACACATCTAGATGTGTATAAGAGACAGGGGTGGGGGGGAGTCTTTGCCAGAGGCAGAGGATGTGAGGGATTTGTATCAATTTCACCTTAGTTGTTCTGAAAGCTCATTAATAAGGCCAAAGAAGACAATGTTTCGGTTGATGTCACCATGAAGGGGAGTGCTCACACCATCAATAATCTCTGCCTGCGCCCACTCAAGTGTCTTCACAAATAGAGGTCTGAATGTATTCTCACTCAACTGTCGGCAAGAACCACAGTGCACCAACACCCCATTCCCAGTCCCATGGCCCCAAATTCATACATCATCAAAAACATGCCACATCACCTTCCTGGAAAACCAAACATCAAGCTCTTCATCACATTTAGTCATAGCACAAACATTATCACAAACATGGCACAAACATAGCACAAACATAGCCTCAAACATAGTCCAAAACATAGCCACAAACATAGAGCAAACATAGCACAAACAAAGCACGAACATAGCACAAACAAAGCACAAACATAACACAACATAGCGCAAACATAGCACAAACATAGCCACAAACGTGGCACAGACATAGCCACAAACATAGCACAAACAAAGCACAAGCATCGCACAAACATAACACGGCATAGTGTTTGCAAAGCACAAACATAGCCACAAACATAGCAACAAACATAGCCACAAACATAGCACAAACATAGCACAAACATAACCACAAATGTAGCACAAACATAGCCACAAACATAGCCACAAACATAGCCACAATCATAGCACAAACATAGGCACAAACATAGCACAAACATAGCACAAACATAGCCCAGACATAACACAAACATAGCCACAAACATAGCGCAAACGTGGCACAAACATAGCAGAGCCGCAAACATAGCCCAAGGCCCCAAACATAGCACAATGCCGCAAACATAGCACAAACATAGCACAACCCGGACCATTTGATTTCTACATCTCACTGTTGTAATATTTTATACATACACGTAGGACACACACATTACCAATTCATTATTCTGCCCAATGTAACAGCAGCTCTCCCTTTTCGCATCTGACCTCTGGGCATGCGGCAATTTCTGTGTACTACTGGGGAAAAAAGCTTTGGCTACCTGCCAGATAGGCCGGTCAACAAACCACAGGAAATTTGAGGGCCCTGTGGTAACCACGACAATCGCAAAAATTGGGGTGCTGTGCCCTAAGCAACAATGGGCCTTGCTGAAATACATAACACTCTACAATGTCTACATGCATTTGGATGCTTTCTGGACCAGATACACTGAAAATGCCGTACTCATCTGAATGCATCTGCTCCAGAAACCGTCCAAATGCATGTCGAGCGTTATCTAGTCGAGTGAGGCTCACTAGCATCGTACAGCGATATGTCAATGAAGTTCAGTAAACAGAAAGAAGAGTTGGACACCGGCGTCAATAATAGAAGTTCAAAAACACAGTCGAGGAATTTCAAAAAAAAAGAAAGAAAACAGTGAAAACTCTGCAAGACCAAGGCACACAGACGCACAGAACTCTGATCAACAAAGGCCGACAGCGTTCAATCAAAACTAGGGAAACGAGAAGAGAAAGAGACTGTGTTTTTTCTCCTGGTCTCAGCACATTCTAGTCCCTACAACTTCAGCCCTGGGCTCCCCAGGGGCCTAGCTCAGTTGGCACACACACATGGACTGATGAAATACAGAAACTGAGATCGAATCCAGATGGAATCAGATGAGTCAAAATTCCTGAATTACTTGGGGTCAGTTAGCTCCACACGATATCTCAAGGCCGTCACTTATATATATTTTATTATTTTTTCTTTTTTTTTTTCTTTTTAAAATTTAAAGACAACATTTGGCCTTCATATCTGGGCTACCAGCCAGGTCGCCTGGGTCACCTTGTTTGACCGGGCGGTCCCGTGCGAGGATCTGAGTCCTCGGCAGGCCTAAGGGGCCTCTTGCTGCAGATGTGCCCGGCCTAAGCGAAGGCGGGCCTAACAAATCACGAGAGGCCCTAAGCTGTCAATTTCGTATTTGGGGTCCAGGCAGTTTCGTCGCACCAGTTGGTTGAGGGAAACACAGGCCGAGCAGCCAGACATTCCACGGCCTTCCAGGCCTTTCCAAAATGATGCAGGCCCTGGACGAGAATCGCAGGCTCATACACAGACAGTTGGGAGGCCCAACCGAATGAGGCCCAGTAGCTGCAACAGAGCCGCAGCATCCTGGGGCCTACCGGAAGCTTCTGGGCCCAGGCCCAGGCGAGCCAGGCTGCGAAGGCTCTTTCCATATAGGAAAGAGCTCGCTGCGAAGGCTCTTTCCATATAGGAAAGAGCTCGCTACCTGGTGCCTCATTCAGCACTTGCATGCTGGCGGCAGCGCTGCTGGAGCGGACACTCGTAGGCTGCTGCTGGCGCTGAGAAGCAAGGTGCTAGCGCGTGCGATCGTGCAGGAAGCAGGGCGCTGCTGAGGGCAGCGCCGTAGCCCAGCCTCCATAGCTTGATGGGCTTGGACTACAGTGAGGCGCAGGGGTGGTCTTCGGGTGTACAGAGGGAAGACGTGGGAGCAAGTCAGGGGAGAGAGAAGGATGATGATGATGATGATGTGAGGGCACATACCTGGTATTGGCGATGGTCTGCATTGGGCGACATCTTCAAGTACTTCGTAGGCTGCTGACGTCAACAGTTGTATTGTCAATTAGTAGGCAGATGGTAGCTGTGTAGGAAGTAGGTTGGGCGCCGAGCGCCAAGTAGGGAGATAGGGCCTGGACACTCGTGTTGGTGGTGGGGAGAGCAAGCTCTCATTGACATTGGTTTTCAGTGTTACGATTCTTCATTGGTGTTGTATTGGGGCATTTCTGCTATCTGGACACTGTGATACTATCTGGCCTTCAATGTGATTGTGCATTCTGGACATTGTCCTCTCGCTATTGCTCACTTTCCTTGCAGAAGGGCCCAGCATTATTAAAAAAAAAAAAAAAAACTGAAAAAAAAATATCCCAAAAGATCTGAAAAGAATACTATGAGATGCACGTTTGCCTCAAGGCCACGTCGAAATTCTTTACCATTTTTTTTTATTTTTTTTCCCCGGCCAGGCATCGTTGCCCCAGGCCACCCTGGTAGGCTAGTTTCAGTGTATGAAGTAAAAGAGCGCACTTTGGGAAACAAACAAGAATATAACACAAGGCAACTATGAAGAGCGAGCTGCAACCATTCATTCTATCACTCTTCTTTTCCCCTCCCCCCTTGACTGGGGCCTCTCCTATACACGGCTTGCCACGTTGACGTGACATTTTCAATCACGTTAACAAAATGCGTAGTTGCGCACAAGCTACCCGCCGGATCCCTGTGTGCCATATGTGACAATATATATAGTCAAACAGAGCTGCCGACGGTAAAGCGTAGGCAGAGAGGGAGGGAGAAGTGGACAACAAACGAGGGGCTGTGACAAACTGTTTCGTYGGAGTTTCACCGACTCAGTTCCTATCAGTTGCATCTAGGAAACTCAGAAAGATGACCTGTTTATGTCTGCCGATAGGAAAAAAAAACGGAAGTGCAGCGGCAGCAGAGGAGGACATCTGAAAAGAATGAAGTCTTGGGCTGAGGGATAACATGGAGTTTCATGGGTTGGATATTCACTCAAGCCTTAGGGGCTCGCCGCACCACTCGCCAAACGCCAGCATTTCGAATGTAGTGGGGGCAGTTGCGAGTCCAGATCCGATACATGCGAAGTGTTGGCGTCTGGCGAGTGGTGCGGCGAGTCCCAAAAGCACTGCGCTCTACCCCTAAGGTTGTTGTTCTGAAGTTGCCTCACCTCTGCACCTGTAATTGACAAAGTAGTGGCTGACGGAACAACCGATATACTCCCCCAACATAACGAGCTGTGCTGCAGCCAAGAGGGCAGGACAAGCTCAGCCACAAGTACAAGCAGTATACACCGCCCCAGCCTACTAGAAATGCATTCATCGTCAACACTCCGAAAGTTTAGCAGCTCGGGACAATGGCTGGCATGGCAGCAGCTGAAAAAAAAAAGAAGGCTCAGCTCGTGGTTCGGAAAAGAAAAGAAGCGCGGCGCCTCCAGGGCCGGGCGTACTGGTGGTTTAAAGGTAGTAGCAGTGTTACAATGACAGCAGGACGAGGAGGAGGAGGAGGAGGAGGTGGACAACAATGATGACGGCGATGAAGGAAAGGAAGCATTCCTAAGAGAGAAAGTCTTTCCTGAATTCAGAACCGATGACTGAAAGCAACATCTTTTAAAAGAAAAATGAGGGAAAAAAAGAGTTGAGGGTAAATAACTTGAAAAGAAAAAAAAAGGGAAAAAAAAGGGTAAAAGAACTTGCCTTCATCACCAGGGAAGCAAACGCAGACATCATGGCCCGTTCAACACCTTCGAACAAAGAAGGATCGGAGAACGAAGGCGGTCTCTTACGGCGCATGTCAAACGCGCGAAGAAAAAAATCAAACAGCTTTCCATTGTATGCAGCCACTGCGGCTCGGTCAAATTGGCTTGCTACGATTCGAACCATCTCGAACAACGCTCCAACAGCCCTCTGTGAAACAAAAAAAAAGAGAAAACATGACATTTTATGAGGGCAACAAAAAAAAAAATGGCATCACGGATACAACGAGGAAAAGATATGCTATAGAACACTGCCATCACCCGAATAGAATGCCCAGTCATTACCGCTGTATCAAGACTGAAAGTTGCACCAAATACAGCTATAACGACCGGGCGTTCTATTCGGGTCAAGACGGTAGTGTAGATAATCACTAAAACATATGAGAGCATACTCACACTAGCACTATCTTAAATGTATACGACTGCAATCACGACCAGACCTGGATGAATCTGACAACAATTGCATCCATAAATAACCAGAAAAGTCCACGCGAGAGTATATGCCCTGAGGAGATAGGTAACCCAGTATAGAGTCGACGGAGGAGTGCCCTACGGATTGCGGTACACAGCAGGGGCATGGCCCACGATCGGCTTGATACATAATCCATCCAAGTAAGCCGTCTTCACAACATCCAACAGCAACCCGATCGAGGACAAGGCACAATTCACAACAAGCCGCACAGAGCGCAGACAGGCGTCCATAGAACAAGAGAGAGAGAGAGAGAGAGAGAGAGAGAGAGAGAGAGAGAGAGAGAGAGAGAGAGAGAGAGAGAGAGAGAGAGAGAGAGAGAGAGAGA